TGTCCGTGCTGCTCCAGAATGCACCACCTTCAACCCAACTGACGCCTTTCCTCCTGCATGTCGAAAAGGGCCAAAGCACGGCCAATATGACCCCAATTGTTAGGCTACAGCGTAGGGATCATTCTTGCTAATAGTGATCTGCGAGTTTTGTGCAAAAACGCATGATCCTGGTGCGTTCCAGCCTGGGTTGCATTTGCATAAACATTTAGAAACGCGTAAAAATAAAACAGACCGCACTGGCGAGAACTGTGTTTTATGCTCCGAGTGCCGTTAGCGACTAAATGGGATAGTAAATCGTCCCTAACAAGGACGACATGAAGCCCCCATGGCAAAAGGTAGGGTGTGCTAAACAGAACACGTCTCCTGTTCTGCTGACAGGTACTAATTTCGTTACGAGAAAGCAAATACACTTGAAAGGGTTGAAAAACTATGACGAGCGTACGAAGAGCTTGTCAAAAAAAGTCAGGTAATAATTACCCTTAGTGTAAGGGTGTCGTTAGGAATTCCAAACGACAGCTGGGGCGGTGTTGACGAAATACGCTTCAGTAAGACACGTAAGTGGCTTTTACTGAGGTTTTTTCCTAATGAGTAACTGGACGAACAATCTTGAAAGTCCAAATTTCAGAAGTACCAATTAAGTGTAAGGAATGGCATCTATTTAAAAAGATTTTAGTCTATAAGAATATGTTAAGACCGAGAATCAAGAATGCACTCGGAGTAGAGGATTTTTAAAAGAAGAACCAGCCTCCAGGATAATTCAACGACAGTAGGAAAATTAATGCCTAAAATTAAAAACGCTTAAAATTTCTGGAACTGTTACCCGTAATTAAGGCTTGTCTGAAAGAAATTTCCTAGGAAACTTCCTAGAGAAATCTTTTTAATGCTCAAAATTTCTACCAGGCTAACAAACTGTATTTCTGAAATTCAGAGAAAACATGAGGTGTTACTTTAGTGAAGGAAAATTAAGAGAACATACTTTAGAAGGAGTACAAGGTTCGGCCTGATGAATCGCAATGATAACATCATTCAGTATGCTCTCCATCTCAGTAGCCATTTGCAACAGCGATGGACTGGCGCACGGTCTTAACCTTTTTCGCAGAGTGGTCATTCGTTGTTTTGTGAGATCCACCATTTCGAAGAGTTCTTTAGTGATCTTGGCCCGTTTTTGTAGCCGTGCCAGTTCATTGCGCTTCACGTTCAGCTCCACTTGACATCGTAACAGTTCATCTTTAGCCTTAAGTATGAGTAGTTAGATCGATCAGTGAAATCTGTCAAGCCCATTATTGATAAGTAATAAACGCTATGTGTGCGTCGCAGGTATAAAATTTAGATTTCAGTGCTGCTTTCGTTACGACAAGAAGGCGTGAAGAAAGAAGAGTTATAATACGCGTAGTTTTCCTGGATGCTACGAATCAGCAGCCTGGTCAGTTGATGATGGTCATCAAAAAAGAGAAACTTCGAGAAATTATTTAGCAAAACAGACTCCTCGATGCATCATTAATTTAGCTGGCAAACAGCGCACACTGTCTGTAAGTTCATCACTCTTTAAAATAAAAGTATCTCATAATCAATTCCATAAATCTCAACCTTTTGCATGTAGAATTCGTGCTCATTAAGCCTATGGGACTTTGGCTCGATTTTTCTAGTATTATGTAACCCTTGCCGCATTCTCTCTCCAACTGTTACCTAAATCTGGCAGTTTTATTTTAAAGCAAAAGAACAATGTGGGATCATTTAGTGCAATCCTGAAGTCAGAAAGCACATAACTAACCGGTATATTCTCCAACAAACATCGAATCGCTCCCAGCAGTTTTTGTCGCCCAATATTGTCGATACCAATAGCCTGGATATAATTACGGCTAAATGGCATTCAAACTAACTATTGGAAAGAAAGCAAATACGCCTGTGATAAGGATTTTATTGGAAACGAGGGGAAGTTTAAAAAAAGAGGCCTAGCTGCCGACTTCCCCTTAAAATTACTTTCGTTTACCACACGGTTTCCACAAACGTCCGGACACATTTGCAATAGCTTGTACAAAAAAGAACAAATTGAGCGGAGAGAGCTAAATTCATTTGCTGCTGAACCGCCAAAACAAAGGCTGGAACGCACCAGGCGAGCCGGTGCGATCATGCGTTTTTGCATCAAAACTAAA